CAAATTATTATAGCTCTTGGCATAGGCTAGTCAGATTCTAAGCTGTTCGTGTCTCATGCCTTTCACTCAGAGCAGTGAACAGTGTGGCAATTTCAGGGCTCCCTATGGTGTGAGAACAAGCTTTCTGACTGAGAGCACAGTGTCTCCACTAGAGCATTGACCCTTGTGATCCACCACTACAACAATCCTCTCTCCTTACAACACTCATTCCCAACAAGAGAGATGCCTCCACAGGTGTGTGCATGCCTTGCTTGTCAGGGGGTTGAGGATGTCCATTCTTTCTGGTGACATGCGACAGTGTTCATCAGAAGCCTTAGAGATGGGCTGTTACCAAGAAATTCTATTTCTATGAATTTATTTTAAGGAGATATTAAAGAAGTTCTGAAAAGATGAACAAGATTAAAGATTATCTTTAAGAATGGGTTAAAGATAATATGAAAATGTCTTTAAAATGGAAGCAGCCTAAGTGAGGATTTGGGATAATATATTAATGTAATGTAATGTTGTGCAACCATTACTAATAACTTTGCTTTAGAAGCACATGGTATATAAGTGTTCACACTCAGAAGTGGTGAAATGGTGAATTTTATATTATGTATGTTTTACCAAAATAAGAAAAAGTGTTCACGAATATGTTTAAATGAAAAAACCAGTTGCAAAATAGAATGTAGTCATTTCTCACATTCGTGTGCAGAAATGCATCCTAAAATGGTAACAGCTATGTTCTTTGCTTATTGCAAGAGATTTTTTTATTCTTCTCTTTCCTGCCTATATTTCCTAATTTTTCTCCTCCTCCTCTTCTCCTCCTCCTATTCTCCTACTTCTTCTTCTTTCTATATTTCCTAATTCTTCTTTCCTAATTACATGTAAACTATGGGGGGAATGAATAAGCTATCTAAAGCAATTGGAGGAGATAACTTTTCTCCTCCAGTTATTTATATAACTTTTTAGTTGAGGTTCAGTTAGTTCTGTTATTAAGTAGAAAGATAACTCATGCAGAAGGAAATAGTGAATTCATTAAAATATGGAGCCCAATTCCACTAATATGGATGTCTAATCAGATTACAACATTGAGGTATTAAACAATTAGACAATAGAAACATTTCTGTGTTGTGTAAGCACTTGATAGTTTTTTCTATGAGATTGTTCATAATGTAATGCAAAAATAAGGGGTAGGGTAGAACTGCTCTGGAAATGGTAATCCAAACTTTTAAAAAATAGAGACTATAGTAAAACTCTTCAGTAATGAGGTTGTGGAATGAGTGAATCTTGATTAAAGCTCTGTTCGAATGAGAACAGAGTCTCTAAACTATTACCAAATTGCTTGGTACAGGTCCAGTTACTTTGGCAATTTACTCCAGGGTATAATTTGTAGAAATTGATTATTAATACATTCAAGCATATCGTATCTCTGGTCAATTTAACAGAGGTTTAACTGAGTACTGACTATGCATCAAGGACTGATGCTAGATGTACAAAAGATAAAAAGGCAGGGCTCCTTTCCTCAAAGTGTATGTCAGGTTTACTTTATCAAACAGTAAGGTGCCCAAAATCCATCACCAAGCAAGTAGATGAAGGATATTTATGGCCCAAAGAGGTTTCCCTGGACAGATGTTCCCCCTCCCAGTCACCCTCAGGATAGTTGGAACACAGGGTTGTCACAACCCTACCCAAAGAAAATACCTAAGTGTGTTCAGCTTGGAAGAAATTACTGTTTCTTATAAAGTTTTGGCGTATCTTACTATTCCAATCAAGGAACTACCCAATCACCTTATCTCAAAGTGTAAAATGTGAAATGTGGGAAGTCACCTAGATCTATTCACTACTTATACCTATTTGAAATGCCTTACAAAATGATGCTATCTACTCTAAGTGAATCATTGTGCAGTATACGCATGTATTGAAACAACATACTGTGCCCCACAAATATGTACAAGTAAATGTTAAAATATTTTGAATCCAAAAAAAAAAGATGTTCTTTACCAAAAAACAGAGAGAAGTTGCCAGATGGTGCGCTGCAACATGCTGCTCAGTGTATCTTGTGTCTGCTGGTGTGGTCCCAGGAGGCAGACTGCCGTGCTGCTGTTCCCAGTCTCTGCCTGGCTGTGTGTGCTTTTTGTTTAACTTTCTGTGCTCCCTTTAAACCAACTCTACAAGGAAGGTGATGATCATAGTACAAGGGTACTTCAAAATGTTCATGGAAAGATTCATATTATCTTGAATTCTGCTTTCCACAAACTTTTTGAAGTATTCTTGCACTTCTGTCATTAGAGAAGTTGCAAAGAGTAAATGAGATCATGTGTCAAATTGCCTTAGGACAGTGACTTAGAACAGAATTGCCCCTAGTAATTTCTCAGCACACATAAGCTAAATAGTAGGAGTCACACTGGTGATAGTAATAAAATAAAATTTTATGTACAAGAATTTTAACTTTTTTTAAATTTAAAAATTTACAGCCGTGAAACACACAAAATCGCAGTGTTTTACATTGCTGAAGGTCAAGAAGACAAGTGCTCAATCCTCTCCAATGAAAGAGGAAGCCAAGCATACGAAGACTTTGTTGCCGGACTTGGGTGGGAGGTAATTCATTTCATTCAGTAGGTGTTTTGTGACCAACACTACTTAATGATATTTATAAATTAGGCATTGATTATGTAAGTTTTTGCATATGTTTCTGTATTCACATACAGCATGGATGGAGTTCTGGAATTGAAGAATATATTGAATTTGATCTTCCATTAGTTGCTTTTCAGCACTTTATACATGAACTTTTGTTTCCCCTTAACTTTCCTCCCAGCATTTTTTCATTTGCTTTTTGTCAGAACCGAATAGTCAGTTGGGCTCACGTAGCCATAGAGAGTTTGTAGTAAGAGCAGACAGCTGTGGGCAGAGACACAATGGCTTTGGCCACAATATGGAGATTGGAGAAGCAGTCAGTGATTTGATGAGGAAAACAGGGCCGGCCCGGTGGCGCACTGCTACAGTGCGCCGCTTGAGAAGCGCGGCAGCGCTCCCGNCCGTTGCCGGTCCCGGTCCGGGCTCGACACTGAGGGTTGCGATCCATTGCCGGTCACGAAAAAAGACAAAAAGACAAAAAAAAAAAAAAAAAAAGAGGAGGAAAATGTTGGATGAAGTTAGAAGTTGAATGAAAACAGAATATGGTAGCCATGACGGTGTAGCTGTCAACTTATTTCACAAAAGTAGACCCCAGGATAATTGATATTGAAAAAGATTTTTTTTCTTTACTAAGTGATACTCTGACATACAGATGTATACATTTATACACATGTTATTTCACAAAAGTAGACCCCAGGATAATTGATATTGAAAAAGATTTTTTTTCTTTACTAAATGATACTCTGACATACAGATGTATACATTTATACACATGCACACACACACACACACACACACACGTATCTGTCTCCCAGGAACATAAATCTAAAGGAAAATATATCTCCAGAATCTGAAAGAAATCAGAGTAGTTAAAATAGAAATCAATATATCTAAAATAATTTTCTTACTTTTTATTACTTTGGTTTCTTAGTTGTCTGTGCTGTAGGAAACTCTCAGGGTGCATAAGTGCAACTTTCCTCAGAGAGGTCAGTGTTAGCAAGGGGACTGACATAGAGATGGGGCCAGGGTAAGAGTGTTACAGAAAGAACTTAGCAAGGAAAACTACAAACACTTGGGAGGTTGGAGAGTCAGGAAGTTTATTACACTAGCAGGGCCCAGGTGAACTCACGTTCCAAAATCCTGGGACCCTGAATGCAAGCAGGGTTGCAGTTATATACTTTTCTTAGGCAGGCATGCAGGCTTTCTTATTGGTCCTGTCTGTATCTAGGCAAAGTCACACAGACGGGGGACTTGAGCAGGCAGCTGTTCAGGAGCAGGAAGTGACCCATTTTCACAGACTAGGGTCTTCAGCAGGCAGCTTCTGCAAAACAGGCAGGCCGCAAGGTTACAGAAGCTGAACATGCTGTAGAGCTAGGGCTAGGGCCTGGAGCTCGCAGACCCCTTGAGCCCATTCACAAACAGTTCACATGCAGGTCTACGAGCTAGGTAACGAGACAAAACGGTCCTTGGCGCCTTGGCTGAAGTAGGATAGTCTTTATTCAGCACACTCACACGTCTAAGAGCTAAGCAGTCCACAGAGAAACTCAAAAACTCAACTGCTACCGGCAAAGTCCAAAGAAAAACTGAAACTGAGCGGCTGCGGCCAGCAGAGTAAACATGCTCTATTGTTAGAGGGGTGCTCTCTTCCACCAGCCTGCTTCACAAACTGCAGAACACACACAAGCAGTTAACTAGAAAGATACATGGGTGCACATGCTCACCAACTCCACCCACACACAACTTGTTTGCAAGAAATGTGGAGGGAGCCTGACTAAATTATCCTATTTTCCCCACAGATGCAAACAACAGATTAACCACTAAACCAATCTTAGGGGTTTTCTGCAAATAAGCACATTCCAGATGCAAGGTTACAGGAACAAATGGCCTTAGTTAAAATCACTTTTTAGACTCCAAACATTCCCCCCCTTTTATGCTCTCTTAAACCTTTGAGTGAGCATAACTTTATTTGGTATTGCTTTCAAGGTCAGGATCACTTCAGGGAGGCAAAGTCTGTTAAAGCCACCAGGCTATTAGCCGTTCTTTTTTTTTTTAACCAAAGTTTCTATAGTGGCATTAATGCTGTGCATTAATAAAGGAAGTAAGCAGGGCAGGATTATACAGGTGCCCGACATGAATATAACTGCTTCTATTACTGTTTTAAATCCTTTAAACATATTAAGCCAACAACCCAAAATTCCCTTGAGATTTATTCTCAACCATTTTCGAATGGGAATATGTGTCAAGTTTTACTTATTAGGGGCCCCCCAGAAATCCAGCAGTTTGATACATTTAAGGTTTGAGCTGTTGTGGACAGTAAAAGACCTGTCCCGGCTTTAACATTAATTTTGGTGTAACATAGGCGTTTGTGGTGGGTGCCCGGAGGGAGGCGGGCTTTAGGTCTAGATGAGGCTCCCTTGAGTGTTTAAAACACATACTGCCATTAACAAATGGCTAAAAGACATTCTGCTATTAGAAGGTACAGAGTGTTGAGCTTTTCCTACATTATTACACTCTCTTGGGGGCAGCCATTGTTAATTTTACAGCAAATACCAAGTAAGAAGTATAATAAAAACTAACGGCAAGGGATGACAAACACGTATTATGTTCCATGATGGCAAAATCCTCAGGCTTCAGCCGTTTGTGTACCGTCCAGTTTCCGGTGTGGCCAGAGCAGGGCAGTGATGATCTATGGAATGCCTCTGGAACTGGACCTTGAGCGGGTTGGATGGATCAGCCTTCACAGATCATGAGGTGGTGCTGCCTGAGAAGGCTGCCTGTTGTACCCATGTGTGGTGGATCCAGGGAGTTAGTCCTGCAACTTTAACTGCAGTGGGGGTAGTTAATACAATTACATATGGTCCCTACCCAGGTTGGCTTTCATGGACTCTTTTTTTTTTTTTATGCACACTGAGTTACCAGGCTGAAACTGATGGGCCCAACTCCCTAAAGGGATAGGAGTTCCTTCTAAAACTGTCTTAGTTACCTGTTTAAAGGTTTTGGCCAATTAACTGCAATTATTGTGACATTTTTATCTCTGCTAGCTGGTGGGGGTTCCCCTGCATGTTAGTTATAAGTGGGGATGGACTTTCATACATAATCTCAAAGAATATTCTGTTGGTTCTGTCATACCTTGGACCCGTAACAAGGCTGAGGGAAGCATATCTACCCAGAAGAGCCCCGTCTTTTGACACAGCTTAGCCAATGTGGTTTTTCGGGTCTGGTTCATGTGCTCCACTTTTCCTGAACTTTGTGGCCTATATACTGTATGAAGTTTTCATTTTATTCTCAGCATTTTGGCCAGCCCTTGGATAATTTCTGTAACAAAAGCCAGTCCATTGTAAGATTTTATGGTTAAAGGGGAGCCCGTATGTAGGGACCACTCCCCTTAAAAGGGACTTTGTGACCTCTCGGGCCTGTTTAGACCGTGTGGGCAACACCTCAGTTCATCCATTGAAGGTACATATTACTACCAGCAAGTATTTATAGCCTCTGCTGGGCTTTACTTCAGTAAAGTCCACTACCAAGTCCTTGAAGGGTGATGTTTCAATTGGCTGGACTGCGGGGACCAGTTGGGGTCCTTGCTTGGCATTATCTTAGATGCAGGTCAGGCATCGTGAGCTGATCTTGGCACGAAGAAAAAAAAAGCTAGCTTTGGGATGAAATAGTAGCATCTCAGCTTGGTTTTCAGAGCCGTTTTTCCCCAGTTCGTTAGTTCATGATACTCCAGAACCAGCTGGTGGGCTAATCGCTGAGGAACCATCGGTCAGCGATTTGGGAGCTTTCACCATCCTTCAGGAGTCTTGATCCCACCTTTTTCTTCTGTGCATTGAGCCTCCTCTTTTGTATACTTTATTTTCTGTGCTGTTTTTGGTACCAGCATGATCTTGGCAGTTTTCTCCATGCTTTTGGGAGGCCCTTTTTGGGCAGCTGCTCTTTTGACTGTCGGATTGGCCAATTTCCTTCACTGATCCTGTCAGTGCCCCTCTGATGGCCTTTGCAGTGTATAAGGGCCACTTGGGTAGGTTCCCAAACTACTTTGAGAAGCTGAAGAATTTCTCCTCTGTTTTTAATTGTTTTCCCTCCTGCTGTTAGTAGGCTTCTTTCTTTGTACAAAGTTCCATGGACATGCAAGGTTGCAAAGGCATATTTAAAGTCAGTATAAATGTTGACCAGTTTTCCTTTTGAGAGTTTAAGTGCCTGAATGAGTGCCCACAGTTCTGCCCATTGTGCTGACCAACCCCCCTTAGGTAGGGGCTCTGTCTTTATTAATTTTTTTATAAGTTGTTACTGCATATCCAGCCCTTCGTTGTCCCCCCTTGATGTAACTGCTCCCGTCTGTAAACAGTTCCATGTTTGGATCAGTCAGAGGCAGGTCTGTCAAATCAGGCCTGCTGGAGTATATTTCATTTATCAGTTTCTCACCGTCATGGTCCAGGGAGCCAGACTCAGCAGGCAGGAGCATGGCTGGATTCAGAGTCTGCACTGTTTCAAGTCGTACCTGGGGGTTTTCACAGAGGAGTCCCTGATAATGAGTCATCCTGGAGTTGGTCATTTGTACCCCCAACTGCATATGGGACCTTCACATTGAAACTTCGTCCTTTTGACCTGAGAATGGAGCCACCAGGCTGGTGTCTACAGAATGTTCTGCTCCAGTGTCCAACATAATAGTCATAGGTTGGACCCCTATTATTATCTTGACCATGGCCTCCTGGGGACCTGGGAACAGGGAGCCCAGTCTTTCCTAGTCTGAGTCCAGCCCTGCAAAGCTGATGAGATCCTGGACCTCATGTCTCACCAGTCCAGATTTGTACTTCTTTCTTCCAGAGTGTGCCTTGTTTTGTGTCATTGCTTGGGATTTCTCCCTGCTTTTTTTGTTGAAGTCACATTTTGGTGCCATGTCTAGTACAGCATCTCTTGCCCAGGTCTCAGGATCCTTGGCAGCTGAGGGTGCCTGGTATTGCAACCACTGTTTAGCACCAGTCAGAATGCATTGCCATTCCTTGATGTTGAAGAGGGTGAAGAGTAGCTGACAGGCTTCCAAGGTGGATTGATGGTAGAATAGGTCTGCACACTATTATCTGGATTGATCTGATGTAGGCCTGGGGTCCCCTGTAGGGGCGTCTGGAGGGCTATAGCTTGTTGTGCAGACAGGAGTCATCTCCCGACCAATTCAGGACTTCCAGGACTTTTAGGGCTTTCTGGCAACAATGCCAGTGGGGCCGATGAAACTGATGCTGGGGGTTGTCTGGCACTGGGTGTCTGATGCCAAGTGGCCCATGAAGGAGTGGGGTACAATGGAGTCAAGAACTTTTCATCTGGGTCCCCTTAACATATAGGCCTTTTTATTTCTTTGTGGTTGTGCTTTGACTTTTGCACTGTTTGTACAGCAAGGAGCTTACTCTTTCTCTTATGAACACAGAACCGGACCCAGGGTGGCAGAGTCATAGCTATAGTCAACCAGGAGTCTATGTTGGAAACTGGTCAGAGTGCCCTGGTTCCCCTGTAATAACCTCATACATTGCTCACACCTTTTGAAGGTTTAGTGTCCCTTCTGAAGGCCACCCAACTCCAAAAGCAGGTCATTCTACCTCACATAGGGTCCAGAGCTTTTCAGAGGTTAGCCCTTGAAAGTTTTTTAACATACATTCAAGGACAGTAAGTTTAAAAGTGCTTGTTTCTATGTTTAACTTTAGCCTCTTTTACTTATTTTAAATGTTTATCTCAATTTAACAAACAACAAAGTCTTTGGGCAAAAAAAACCCAGTAGCTTAAAGGAGGTATGTACTAGTGCATAACTTGGATCCCTTTCCTGATGGTAAAGTGTACACTGAGTTTTAAATATTAAACATTATAAACCATTAAACCACTACACATTAGACACTGTTAGACACTAGAGGGCATTCAGACATTAATTATCAGATAGGTACAAAGACTTTGATTATGTGTGTTTCCCTTCCCTGCAATGGAGCTGCAAGACAAACAAGGGAAGGGAGCCCTCCTTCTCCCAGAGGAGGAGGAAGACCACACAGGTGTCCTCCTGGCCACACCTCTCGTGGGAACCATTGAGCTCGTCTTGGCTAAAGGTGTGCCTATATAAACTCCGTGCCTGGTTCAGTCCATCTTTGGACTGAAATCACCATTGTGCCCTACGACATAGCCATGGAACCGCAGGTTAGGTCCCACTTGGACACTGTGTTTATCGCTTGCTGCCATAAACATTTCACATTCACTCACGCACTCATAAAGATGTTAAGGTACCTTTCCCTCCCCCAATCCTAACCTAAATTCCCAGATGGGTGTCTTAAACAGAGGTACCTCAGATCACACAACCAGATCCCAAACCACATGGACCTCAGTATGAGGTCCATTACCCAGATGGACGTCCTTAATCAGGCCCTTAGAAGGACCGTTTCGGGAGGTTATCAAGCTCCCCTTCCTCCTGGAGGCAGGCCTTACCTGAACTTAAGGATTGGGGTGGCCTACCTGTTGTTCTGAAGGCCACAGGGGTCTGGCTGTTCCTCTCCATTGAGTCCAGTCAGACAAGTGCTCCCAAAAATCAGTGAGGGCCCAAAAGACCCAAAGCCCCAAACCAATAGATGGGAGGTACCTCCCTCAGTACTCCAGGGCCCCACCAACTTAGCAGGCAGCCCTGCCTGGACCAGTGGCACAAAGGGCCAGTCTGGAGTTTCCTGCCATCTTGTTTCATTTCATGGCCAATGCACTAAAATGTTAAAGAAAGAACTTGGCAAGGAAAACTTCAGACACTTGGAAGTTTGGAGAGTCAGGAAGTTTATTACGCTAGTGGGACCCAGGTGAACTCACGTTCCAAAACCCTGGGGCCCTGAATGCAGGCAGTTTTATACTTTTCTTAGGCAGGCATGCAGGCTTTCTTATTGGTCCTGTCTGTATCTAGGCAAAGTCACACAGACTGGGGACTTGAGCAGGCAGCTGTACAGGGGCAGGAAGTGACCCATTTTCACAGACTAGGGTCTTGAGTAGGCAGCTTCTCTGAAACAGGCAGGCTGCAAGGTTACAGAAGCTGAAGATGCAAACAACTGATTAACCACTAAACCAACTCTTAGGAGTTTTCTGCAAATAAGCACATTCCAGCTGCAAGGTTACATGAACAAATGGCCTTAGTTAAAATCATTTTTAGACCCCCAACAAGAGTACCTCAAGGTCAAAATCATATACTTTCTAAAAAGGCAATTGATTTTAGTCTAAAAGAGTTATTGCTCTTCCAATAAATCTTTGTTCTTATTACTAATATGGTTACTTCTTATTTGTCATAGGATATATTTATTGTCAAACTAATATATATTTTTAAACCATCCATTCTCAACTAGAGTTTTAAGACTAGAACATTACTAATTCAGAGTGTATGTTGATTGTATTTGGCACGGAAGAGATTCTTCTATTTCTTTCTTTCATGTGTGTTAGAATTGGTGCTTTACTAAAAGAATACTAGTCTATGAGAAGTAAAAATATTTGGACAGAGGTGAACATTCAGGCCCTAACTTTAAAATGAATTATATTCATGAATTATAGGCTTTCAGCAGTGTGTAAATTGGAACAACCCTATCGAAAGGTAGTTTGGCAATGGCTGCTAAATTGTGTAACATCTGTACCCCTTTACCCAATGTCTTAGTGTACTCCTTTGAGTGCTCCTTCTGGTTTGAGAAAACAGAACACCCCACAAATCCATCAATAAGGAAACGTGTGTGTGTGTGTGTGTGTGTGTGTGTGTGTGTGTGTGTGTGTGTGTGTATGCATGAATACATATATACACATGCATACTTTTATGTCCATACAGGCATATATATAAGCCAAAAATTTTTTTTTTTTTTCCTTTTTACTGACCGGCAACGGGATCGCAACCCTCGGTGTTGTGCCCACACCGCGCTCAGCCAGTGAGCAGGAACCAGTCTCCACATGGGATCCGAACCCTCGGTGGGAGCGCTGCCACACTCTCAAGCGGCGCACTGTCCAGTGCACCACCGGGCCAGCCCATGCCAAAATTTTGATAGTGCTTTTCTTCAGTTGGTAGAATGAAGGAGCACTTTCATTTTAATGTTCTTTATTTCCTTAGTATTTTAATTCTGTCTAACTATTACATTTGTTTGTTATCAGAAAGAAAGATACAGAAATGAAAATAATTAGTTTTTAAAAAAATCTGCATTCCTGATCAGTGAATAAGAACAACCCATGTTTGACCCTCACTCTCTTTCCTCTTTGTGACCTTTGTCAGGTGGATCTCTCTACCCACTGTGGGTTCATGGGTGGCCTTCAGCGCAATGGCAGCACTGGGCAGACAGCCCCTTACTATGCTACCTCGACTGTGGAAGTGATTTTCCATGTTTCCACTCGGATGCCATCAGACTCAGATGATTCACTCACCAAAAAGGTAAGGGGCCTCCTGGGGGACTATTCTTAGCTGCCCTGATTTGTAGGTGGGACTCTCCTAGGACTGGACAAAGACTAGGGCATAACATGCACTGAGACCAATTTCTTCTGGACTCAACACTAGTGTTGCTCTTCCTCAGGCTACAGTTGTGGTTAATCTGAGCAATAAAGAAATATCTGAAAGGCAGTTAATCATTTGAGTCTTAAATCCTGAAATTAAACTTTAAGAAAAGGAATGGTCTTAAGTGTTGTTGCTTTTGGATCTTTCCTTCATGAATTTACTGACAGAAAATAACATTTATGACTTCATAGGTTGGCAGAGGTCACAAAATATAATGACCTTTATGATGAATGTGGGGCTCCAGGAAAGCAGGCCCTGCTCGGGCTTGCTGCGGGGAATTTGGCAATGTCTTTCAACACGATCAGTGCAGGCATGCCCCTGCCGGGCAGCTCTGCCTGCCCTGCTCCCTTTTGTTCTCCTTCATCTTGCCCTGTAGGCAGTTTTCCCTAGAATTCAAAGGAAACCTAGTCCACCCCTGAGGAAAGCACCCTAGGGGAACATGGTCCTGTACTTTCTAACCTGCAGGATATTCACCTCAGGTGACCCTGTGTTAGAAGGGAGGAGCACCTTAATAGAAGAGGAATTTTAGTCTGGGAATAAAACCTAGTAATCTGATCTACTTCTGTAAGTTTCTAGGTGAGAAGAGAGTCCCAGCGCAACTGTGATTTGCACTTACCTGACCTCTAGCGGGTGGGGAAGCCTAGAATCCCAACCTCACATCCACACTCTTCCTACCACATAGGTGCGAGGAACTGAGGACAGCAGCTCAGACGCTGACCAAGGCAGTCTATTAGGGAGTCTAGTGTGGCAGTGATAGCCAGGCCTTGCAGACAGGTGGACCTGTGCTCAAGTATATATCCACTTATTTCACCAGCCTGTACCTCAGTTTCCCATCTATTAAATGAGATTAAAAACACAGCCTGCGTCACAGGGTTGTTGAGTGAAGTCCATGAGATAATGCCGGTAACATTGCTTAGCATAGTGCCTGATGAGATCTCTCTGACCGTCAGCCCTCATCGTTGCCCACTGGTCTAATTGATTTTTTCTCATTCCCCATTAGCCAGATGATTGATATTGGCCGAAGGCCTCACTGTACCTGTCTTATTTCTTTTCTCTGTGATTTTGCTTTTTCATCACTGTAGCTGCAGACGTCTGGGCTATATACATGGTGGACAACAGTGCATGTGAGATATCACAACTCGGCCTGCAGCCCAATCACAGGCAACTTTCATAGTGATCAAGCACCTCAGATGTACAAAGCACAATTTGCATTAGAAAACTCAGCAGCCTTTTGCTCCCCCAGCCCCAAATGCCATAATGGCCTACCAGGGTGGGAGCATCATAGCCAGAGGCGCTAGCCATGTGCCAGTTCCCACAGGTGCAGGAGGAGCTGCTTCTACATCTTGGGTTTTGATGGCTGCCCCTGGCTGCAGGGAACCTTGTCCTCCAAGTGTCCACTAGTATTGCAGAGTATGCAGCTTACCATGACCCTGAGCTGGGCTTACACATCTTTTTTATTTGCAGTACTTTGTAAATTGTTGCTACTCCACAAATGCCTAACCATAGTCTATGATTTTCTTATGACTGAGAATTATTCTGTTAAAGGATAGATTTATATATAAATTTTTTAAAAAATTATTTCTGAAGTAAAGTAAGATTGTTTTTTTGAGAAAAGATATACTGTCTTATTGTTAAAATGCCATGCTATAAATAATGTTCCAAGGCTTGACCTGGTTGACAGATTCCCTACTGTAATAATGAAAATTCAGCTGATACCTTTTGCAGCTCCAAGATTTAGCATCATTAGCAATAAACTCTCTTTATCAGGATGTCTCACAGCTAGACTAAAAATCAGTCACAGAAACAGCAGCCCACAGTTCCTTGTCTTATTCTAGCTAAATTGTCTCTAACAGCTTAAAAATGAGCTGCAAAATTCTAAAGTGATTCATGCTCTCTTCTGCCCCTGTCATGGGGGGACTTTTTCAATTCTGCAATCCGGTTGCAACCCCTTACTGAACTCTTGATCCTTCACTGCAGAAATTTGTTAGCTCTAGCTAGATTAGATTTTTCACAGCTAATCTAACTGCTGTAGGGGTTTGCAGAGTGGGGACAGAGCTGTGCTATTGGATTTGTCCAATTCATTTGACTCCAGGACTATAATTGCACTTATGTCTTACAAGGCTTTTATAGCCTCAGGCTGGCCAGCCACATAAAAAACAAATTGGCAGTGATACAGTACAAGTGAAAAGGGATGAAAGGCCCACATTATCAGTCTCCAGGCAGCGCTGTTCTGGCAGGAAGTTTCTTGGTTAATTTACAAATAAAACTTAGATTTTAGGATGGGCACACTGTCAGCTGAACAATGGGGATGTCAGGCCTGACTGTTACTTAGTAAAAGTAGCAGCCGGGCCCACTGAGGAGCAGGAATTCTTCAATCAAACAGACGACTCCTTCTGGAGCCAGCTGGCGATGTAATGCAATTAGTCGAGAAAAGAGGTCAGCCTATTAGGTGTGTACCATGACCAGTGTCACCAGTGGCGTGCAGCCTGGCAGCAGCAGGCAGAATGTCTCGGGTGGAGGGACATTAAAACTCTGTCAGGATGAGAAGTGGCAGGACATGGGGTTGATTTCTTAAGACTTAAGAACCAAGCATTTGTTCTGAGCCTTACAGGCATCTGGGCATCCTGGAGCCTGTTGTGCAGTTGAAGCAGTAGCTGGCGTAGCTCCATTCCAGCACGAGACTCATCAGTATCCTCTAGCACACACAAATCAGATCACCTTGACTTGTGTGCACTGACCAAACTCACTGGTGGATTTCTAATTTAAGGGCCACTCGTCAAAATTCTCTAAAATTCACAACATGGCATCTCTGTAATGAAATCCCTTTTAAATTGAGCAAACTTTGAGGTTTCCAGAGCATTCCATACAATTTGGCCAGATTAATTCTGTTTTACCTACTAGCATCCCCGTTGTAGGCAGAAAAGGGTTTATTTTTGCTCTTTGCTTCAGATTTATCAGCCAATTGATTCTGTGGCCTTAGCTCTTAGTTTTGTGATTTAGCTAATTAAACTATGATTTTCCAGAAGTCTGAGGCACATGACATTGAAAGCAGCTTTGAGATGATGAGTACTGTGTTATTACCACACAAAAATAGCCCTTCCTTAATTATAGAATTGCCACACTGGGAGGATGGGTCTATTAGTGTGATACTACTCTCCCTTGCTGTAGTTCTGAGAATACAGTTGCAAATAAAATTAGCAGAGACTTACTTGGGTTATGTAATTGAGTAACCCAATTTAGAAGGGGGAGAGTAACTGAAATTTCAATGATCACTGTACTGTACTACCTCCCAGCTAATGCTTTTCAACTTACACCTGTGGATCAAAAGGAGCTATCATAGGTTTTACGGTGCTGGCATTGGGTGGTAGCAGCACATCCAAGGGGCACTTAATAGGTAGGTTGTTCACATTCAGGCATTTGTACCAACTTTATACCAAGGGGCCCAGAACCACCCTGAGGTTGGCTCTCTTTGCAGGATAAGAGCTGTACGGTGTGAGCAAGATGCTATTCCTATTTCCCTTGAAAACATGCCTCTGTTGTGTTGTTGGTGATGCTGACTACCATGTTTTCACTCTAAAATGACTGAATTTCAGGAGTGGGTTGCCAGGTCCTTGCATGTATTATTAAAAAGAAAGAAAAGCTGTAGTACTTAAGATGAGAATAGAGAAATATAGAGAGATGTTCAGTGCTACTATGAGAACCCAGTGTTGTCTTTTTTTTAAAAAAAAAACTGTTTGTGTAATGGGTTGCTACACCTTTTCACCTTTTCACCTTTCACCTGCTACCCTTTTAGCCTTTATATGGGGGGGGGGAAGGGGGAAAGAAAAAAAGATGTACTGAGTAATTTTGTATTCAGAAAGTTGTAGATACCATTAAATTGTTCTGGATCATCATGACTTGTGCTCAAACACTTGTAGTTGCATTTGTCCGGAAGCCCATATTCAGACACAGTTGAATCGTGCACCCCTCAGTATAGGTACAAAGGTACAGGTACAAGTCTTTTTAAATAACTGGCTGGCATAGTCGTTCCCAGAAGTGAGAGCAAGAGAAGAGGTCCGGAAGCCCATATTCAGACACAGTTGAATCGTGCACCCCTCAGTATAGGTACAAAGGTATAGGTACAAGTCTTTTTAAATAACTGGCTGGCATAGTCGTTCCCAGAAGTGAGAGCAAGAGAAGAGTAAAGCAGGCACTGCGCACTTCTTCTGTAACCTTATAAATGGAAAAGAGGCCATGTGGGGGTCACCTCAGATTTTCCCTTTGTGGCCAAATAGTCTATCAAGAAAATTGTTTTATGCTAACATGTTTTAAATACATGGTATTCCAGAGCATCCTTTTTTTTTTTTTTTTTTATCTTTTATGACAAAACTAAAACATTAGCTTTGATACAACATCTCTATTTTTCTAAAATGCTTCTGAATTTAGTCATTTTTGGTGTTCATCTGTTTAGTCTTTATAATCTCATTTCTTTAAATGACACTTTCAGGCTTACTCAAATAATTTCATGTGCAGCTTTCTCCAGTTTGGGACAGTGCAGTCATTGTGCATGAGATTTATCCAGGGTGTTCATGCAACTGACAAAACTTGACCCTGAAAGAACTCTCAAAGATTCCTTCCTTGGAGGCCTTCCTGCTAAGACCCTCCTCAAAGAGGCCAGGAGTTTGTAGTTTGTTTTTGAACTTCACAGTCTCTTTCTGTATAAAACGATCCAACAAGTGAGCTAAACTATCTGAGCTATGACAATATAGTAGCTTTTGGTGTAGGCTTAGACAGCCATGGCACAGTAGAAATGGCGCTGAACTGAGCCCTGCCCAGGGTCCCAGGCCTCCTTCCCCATGCGCTGTTCACACCCCCTCGGGTAGGCGTGCCTTTGCCTTCCTGAGCCCCCATTTCTTCCTGGAAAGATAAGATAAAGATGTTGTAGTCTACCTCAGAGTGTTAGTGGGAAGATTAAACAAAACAGTATGTGTGAACATACTTTCTGTAAAATAAGGCACTCTTTAAATGCTAGGTACTAGTGTTCTTAACATATTTAAATAATATTTATTAGTTTCCTAAACAAAGGTAATTTTATACATTCTTTTATCACAAGTTTATCTTAAAAGATTTATCACAAGTTTGTTATACATTTGGAACAACTGTGTTATAATGGCTTATGTTCTTTTGTATTCCTATTCTTATATTCAGTCATTGAATTAAGAGTCTTATAAAATGCCACTGTAATATGGAATAAAAGACTAATGTGTTTAGAAACATGCTCAGCAATATAAAGCATAAGGAGTAAAATTCCATTTAAAAAAAAAATCCTTGAAAAGGTCTCAGCCCCATCCAACCATAAGGTGCCCATAACTGTGTATTATCTTAATACTAACGTGTTATGTAAAAGACAAGCTGTATTTTTACACTGTGCCTTTTTAAATCCTCATTGAAGAGACATCGGTGTTATAGCCTTTTTTGGTAGTGAAATATTTTTGCCTCTGAGTTTTATAATTCAATTTGTAGACCACTACCCTTCATAAACTGCTTTTATCACCCTGATTAATAAAGAGCCAATTTGCTGTTTCAGCTCCGTCACTTGGGGAATGATGAGGTCCATATTGTCTGGTCTGAACACTCCAGGGACTACCGCAGGGGTATCATCCCAACTGCCTTTGGAGATGTGTCAATCATCATTTACCCAATGAAGAATCACATGTTCTTTATCGCAATAACAAAGAAACCTGAGGTACATTTTCACTGCATTATTGTTCTGGCTCTTACAGCATTTGCCATATGATTCATTGTTACTGAAAATAAATGATATAAATATGTTAAGGAAGTCTTTTCCAATTGGTGAATGTCTTACATATATCTCTGAATTACAGGAATCAAATATGAATTGAGATTTTTCAGAGAATCCTTCGTCATGAGCACAAAATTCCATATTGTATTACTTGGCCTATTTGAAAATTACAATGTCAAAGAAATTTATGATTTTTAAAATGTTTTTTAAGTTTTTAAAATTTTATAGTAAAAAATTATAATTTTGAAATTTGGGCATGTTAATTAATAATCAAAGTTGAAGGAACCACATATCACATCTAGCATTTTATTTGTAACTGTGGGTATAGAATCCAGCCTTGCCTGATGGATGGGCATTGCTGGCTGAGCCTCTGACTGGTGCTAATGGGGGTCATCCTGAAGGATTGTAGGCATGTCCACAAGGAGCCTGTACCTCGGGAGCACAGCCCACGTGATGATTTTTAACAGTCAAAGCACCTTGCCGCAGAATCAGTTTAGCCATGGCAATTGGTATTGATCATGGGAAGGGCTGGAACAATCCAACGGTGTATGTGCCCTGTACTAAATTGGCTACAGTTTCGATCCTTGACATGCCTTTAGTGGTGTTTTAGTAGTGCTTTTATAGTGACTTGTTTTTGTTCCAGAATTACTAGTAGAAGCGATTTTTTTTACAAGTTTTTTAATTAAACATTTAGCATATTAAGCCACTCCTCAAGAAGAATGACTTTGTGTTTTTCAGCTTAATATCAATTATAGTGTTCATTTTCGTTTCAAATTGTTCTCCTGAAGGGGCTGAAAGTTACCATTCTAAAAACTCTCTATTTTTAAGCTTTAAAATAATAGGTAAATGAAATTTATTGTTCAAATCGGGATTTACAACCTAAAGTGTTAAAGTTATGGGGATTAAATGAGCTAATAAATGAAAAAGTGCTTCAAACAGTGCCTCACCCAGAGGAAAACTACTTAAGTTTTAGTTATAATTATTCTTGCTATTATTATTTTTTGTTATAGTTACTACCATAGAAATAGAATAAATAATGAATTCCAAGTTTGATATGCTTATTAATTCTCAGACTAGATATAGTGTGAGTCAACTCCTAAATCCGAAAGAGTCCTACTGTGGCAAGTGCAAAGCCTGATGTAAAGGGAACCCTCTTTTCTATTCAGGAGTGAAAATGCCAAAAGTTACTTCATATTAAATATTTGTATTATCTTTGATTCAGATCTCTACATATATGAAGTTTTCAGTTTTATATAAGAAAATGGCTCTTAGTGCTAACATTTGTATTTGTGAAGAGCGCTCTATTTTAATCTTAAGAATTAAACTGAAAATCTTAGAGAATCAACACATTTAGTATCTTGTAGCTTCTAAAACTAGAAAATGTGTTTCTCTAATATTTAGTATGGATTAACTGGCTTTATTAGTTCATTTTTCAACATGGCCTTCTAAAATGTCATTTAATTACCTAAAAATGTCATCTTTAATTTTGTAGTAAAGAACATGAAAAACATTTCAATTCACTTTATAGTGTCAAAAGTGATTTTAAGAAAGATGGTATACTTATAATGCATGAAAACAATAATTAACATAGCTTTTAAAATTTCTTATAAAATGTGTGTAAGTTTCACAAATTTGGTCATAAATTCTGACAAAATGAATTGAGCAAATCATTTTCTTAATATTTTAATTCAAAAGCCTGAAAGGAAGAAGAGAATAATGGCCAACTAGAAATTTAGTGTTATCCCTACATTTAAAGTACAAACCATTACAATGTAATAAAATTAATCCAGACATTTCCAGGGCAAGTGTGGCTGACCTTTTGTTCACCAACCACTGACCCCAGGGTGAATGCAAGAGGCTTGCGGAGGGAAAGTCTGTTTGTTTGGCTTCAGTCCCTGGTATTTAAATTGCATTCCCTAATCAAATGAAAAGGCTGTCCTCTCTATCAGGTTACAGAATCCATGGCAACATTTGGCCTTTTATATCCATAATGTTAGCCTTTTTGTTTGCATCTAAGTAGAGACACCTGGAGCAATGTTAACATTAATCGATTTAGCATTAATAGCTTCATTATATAAGAATTTCTGACCAGATAGCTGTTACTTTTGTTATATTGCTTCAGCTTGTATTGTTGTCATTTTTTATCTCCCTCCTTGGCAACCAGGCAATGATTTGCAAATTTTTTTTGTCTTGATTAATTAAGCAATATAATTATCAGTAACCGTGATGCAGTCTTTGCTCAACAAAGCTTCTGAGAGAAAACAATAGTAAGTCTGTTAGCATGAATGCATTCCACGCGTCCCAGATGCATGAGGATATTATGGACAATGAGGGGAAAGGCCGCCTGTGAGCGAGGACAAAGGGTGCCATGCAGACTCGACACACTGCACATACCGCCAGGGACATGCTGCGGGCTCCCTGGGACACAGACGCCTCGTTAGATTACAGCTAGTCAGCAGAGATTAATTCTCAGCCATTTGGTGCAATAATTTACCCATTCCCTAGTCTTTTAACTAGTGCTTCTTACTATGGAAGTAAAGGCTTTGTACTGAAAGGTTTATTTAACCTTGCCTATTGTTAGGGATCTCCATCATTATTTTTGCTTTGAGATTATAATGATGCAGCTACTTGAAGTTGAGGAATATTCCTTTTGGTAGTGCTTCTTACTATGGAAGTAAAGGCTTTGTACTGAAAGGTTTATTTAACCTTGCCTATTTTTAGGGATCTCCACCAAAATCATTATTTTTGCTTTGAGATTATAATGATGCAGCTACTTGAAGTTGAGGAATATTCCTTTTGGGAGGATGGGATATGCACAAGTTTTAGAAATTGTAAGTAGAGTCAAAGATATTCTTTTAGCACTTGTATATTTCATCTGAATACAGTATGACTCTGTGGTCTAAGTACATTTATTTTACTGGTCTCTGGGCAGCCGTACTCTCTAAGAATAATTTTAATCCTTTTTTAGGAGGAAAAAAACCTCATCAGTACACAAAAGTCCTGCTCATTGGATAGAGTCATGCATATTCAAATTGTACTTTCATTCACTCGGCCTCATTAATAGCGTATGTAATAATGTAGGGCTATTTGTAATACAAGCTCACAGGCAGTGTTGCTTCCAAGTCCTTTGAAATTAAACATATTTCACTTTTTCATCCCATAGACCTCCCTTAAATATACAAATTATGTGACTGGCAGAATCCGCCTCCTTTCAATAATACACAGCATTTGTGAAATGGTGTGTTGAAGACGTGCGGGTGTGCTTGTGCGAGCGCTACAACCCTCGTGTCTGAGGGGCCGCTCACTTCTTGAGCTTTGTACTGAACTTTTTTTCTTTAATTAAATTTAAAAAATAAGTATGCTTAGCAGCATCGTTTCTTTGTTAAATTACTTTCAAAATATGTCCATCTCCATAAATATTGACACAATAGTCCTTTGGTCATAGGAAAGAAATGTGTTATTGTCAGACTTACACTTTTTTCTACTTTACTATTACTGAGTCAGCAGTCAAGGAAAGATTTGCATATAGAGCAGAATGTGAGTGATTTAAGGGTTTTTTTCAAATGTCCCATTTGTTTTTCAGAAGAGTGATTCATAAATTCTCATGGCAGTGAGTACCCATTTTGCTTTTCCTCCCTTTCGTTAACTGGAAAATAATATTGGTGTTCAAAGTACTTGCTTTTATAGATTTGTAAAGGTAAATTTTAGTGTTCTGGGCATGTTTATCTCCAGGTACATTAGTGATGGGCTGGTGACTATTTGACCAAAGGGTAGATGTTCTGAAGCAGCTCTGACCAGAAGCAGTTGAGACAAGAGGAAGTTTTGGTGAAACTTCATCACCTCAACCAGAGTGTCGCCTTTGTAAATGAAAAACATGTTAATATCCTCCAAACTCTGCTTACTTGGCCCTGGTAGATATGGGCATGAGAGAAAAACTGATAATGATTCAATCATTTCTGAGAAGTCTAGTAAGGAAAGAGTAATACAATAGGAGCTGGGACCCCAAAGTTCCAGGTCCAAGCTGACACAAGTGGGTGGGTGTCTTGGTCAGGTCTCTGAATTTCCTTGGACCTTAGCTTCCTCATCTGTAAAATTCAGGTTGAGGACCAAGGCCTCTCTACAGTCCTTTCAGGGATTCTAAATGCTTTCATCGGATCCTCTTGTTCTTAGATACCCATACCCTTCCTTAAGTTGCCCTGATTGTTACCAGGGTGTTGTCAAGGTGGCTTCTGGTTCTCTTGCAGCTTCAGCAGCTACTGTGAGTCAAGTTTGTGTGTGTGTGTATGTGTGTATGTGAACGCATGCATGCATGTGTGTGCCAGAAGTCAGAAGAATATTTCCCCATGTGAGGCTGAGAGGAGCCCAGTATTGGCACCTGTGTTTGAAAGGAAATCTTTTAAGCTTACTACTGCGTCATCATTATATGGAGAGTGTGCTTGACTTTGTAACACAGTTGTGTATATTTCTTTCTTTTTATTTCATATGTATGATTTACTTAAATATTTACCCCAGTCTCAACTAAATAACTCTTTTGAGATTAAATCACACTATTTAAAATACTCTAGGTCTTTCTTTTTATTTCATATGTATGATTTACTTAAATATTTACCCCAGTCTCAACTAAATAACCCTTTTGAGATTAAATCACACTATTTAAAATACTCTAGGAAAGTAAATTGTAAATTTTTTAATATGCAAAGAATTATTTGGAAAAGATAATTAAAAATACCAAACAACCAGAACTTACTAAAAGGAGTTATTAAATGAATTAATTATTATGATATATTCTGTTTTGGTAATTTATTATTATTATTGTTAATGTTATTTTTAGTAAAGAAATGACATTGAGAACTATGTGAAAAGGCATCTGTCATTTGCAGATATTATATTAAAATCAAATTTCTTCTCTGGTTCATTGCCACTTCAAATTAGAGGAATTCCCTAGATAGAAGGGATTTATATTATTTCTTTCGTCCAGTTTTTGAAAGACTGAGTCACTTACAAGCAGTTGCCAAAGAAAAATAAAGAGCATTTATTTGTACAAGAAGCCTCCATACAGGTGGAAGAAAATCTATATAGCCTAACTATTGTTAATGAACTGCTAGCTCTTGTTTTATATTTTGCAGGAATTCAGTGTTTGGGAATTTCTTTTCAATTTATTTTCCTTAAAAGTTGCCGTAGTTTTCCCTTTTTTTAGTTGGTCTTTGACACATACCTCTTCTCTTCATTTGTTTTATCCTCTCTCGTTCGGCCAGCCGAGCCAGCCTGTATAAATATGCACCAAATGGCAAATGATAGACCCGCTTTGTGTCAGAAAGCAGGACAGTTCTCAATCTCTACCTCCAAGCTACCTAACAGGAAGGGCCTTTTGGGTCAACAGACACAGGTTAGGATCTCCAGACCTTTTGGCATGCAGCTTTCTAAGTCCCTGCACGCAGGTGCACAGGCTACTGGCTGCTGAGCCCAGCATGGGAGGCAGGGGCAGCAGGAGCACACAGAACTCCTCTGTGAGAAGGAAACAGGACCCACAGTCCCAGAACTAGAGAATTTATCCTTAAAGGTTTATTTTCTGTACTATTCTTGAAATTTATTAGTTTGTTGTTGTTGGGATTTTTGCTGTTTTGTTTCCTTCATGAGTACTTTCATCACAGCTCCACCTCACTGATTACTGGATTGCTTTTATTTTAAGCCATAGGAAAAAAATGCACTTTTTAAAAAAAAAAATATATATATATATTTTAAATAAACTTTTTAAGGTGTGGTGTTATTAAAGATAGAAGGAGGAAAAGGTTATTCTTTCTTATTTTCTTATTTGTTTGTTTTTGTCATTGTTTCTTGGACCTGGCCACACTGAATGATTTTAGACTATGAATAGCTCCTTGATTTTCCTCCTTGTAATTAAGATGCCCAGTTTTCCTCCCAGTACAATCATAAAGGGAAAAAAAACTCATTATTAGTCTTCACTAATAGAACTAACAGTCTTATCCTTCTTTGCTCCCATTTGAGTTTCCTTAGGTCTCACTTCTTCCTCTGAGCAATAGTCACTGATATCAAAATTGCTTTGCTCAGTCTTTGCAGTTTTAAGTCTATGTGTTTTAACTGTGGAACCCTTTCCTCAAACCCACCAAACAGAAGAGCTGTAGCAGCAGAAGCCTTCTCAGGACCCTAGGATTACCCCATCACCCTTCTACCCTGGCCTTTCAGGCATCTGATGGTGCAAAAGACAGTCACAATAGATCTTATTCTAAAAATGTGGAAAAGGACAACAAATATGGTTAATATCTAGTAGCCAGACCCTTGGAAGCTGGAATTCCTTATTCAGTCAAGCAGGCAATATATATCTCTTGAGGCTGCTTCATGCCAGGCACTGGATCAAGGGCTGAGGGTTCCCACTCTCCTGAATTCTAAATTTTAGTAAGGGAGATAGCCATTAAATAAGTAAATAAATGTTTGAACCAGTGCCTTTCCAATAGGTATAGATGTTACAAAGAAAACAAAACAGTATAAGATGGGCAGGAAGGAGGTTGGTTTAATTCAGATAGAAGACTTCTGGTTTCCAATCCAGCTTGGCAGCCGTCACTCCCATCCTCACAAGAAGAAGAAAATAGAACAAACTGAAAGTCAACAGCTCTTCTTAGAGCCACCAGAGATTTGAAGCCACAGAGCAAACTCCTGCCCCCCAAATTGGAGAGACAGACAAGCAGATACAGAGAATCACACTTTACTAGCACAGAAGCCCAGAAGCAGAAACCTCTGGGGAACAAATACCTGGGTAGGAAAATATAGACTATAATTGACCAGTTGCTGGAGGCTTAGTATGGACAAGTCTGAAAATTAAAAAGTAAAGGAATCTTTGGGGAGTTCCACATTTTTGTGAGTTTTTCTTCTAGGAATCCTACCAGGCTTCCAAAAACACATTTCTAAACATGTTAATTAGAAGTACTAATATACCACTGATACAAGATAGCAAATTTTGCTTCTTCAAAACTAAATTATCTGAAAACCTGGCATCTTCTTAGCCTTAAAGTTAGACTTCACAGACCTTATAGTAAACACACAACTACTATCTCCACTGCCTCCCCCTCCCAGCCCAAGTCTGTGTTTTATGGAGAATAAACCAGAATTAAAGCACTAAAGAATACTGCAACTTCTTAAATGAGTTAACATATTTAAAGTACCTCATATATAGTAAGCATTCATAAAATGTTATTCTCTAGATGCTAATTTTTTACACACAAGTAGAGGCATTTTTTCAAACTTAAAAAATAAGCTGCAATCTCATTATAGAAAAGTATGATCCAAGAGAAAACAAAACCAATTGGATGGAGCAATCTTTTATTTACACACTTCTGACAAAGAGGTTTTCAGTAAGTAATCGTTCCAGTGAGAACAGAGAACATAAAAATCAGCCTCCAGCTATCAGCAGCTGCTCTACTCAGGGCCTAGGATCCTCCTTGCCCAAGTGGTGAGGTGGAGGGGTATACTTTCCTTCCTTTATTAGCTTATCCCGCTGCTTCTGGATGGTATTGATGCGTCTCATCGTTTTCTGCCGAAGAATACATTCTTTGAAATCCTCATATTCTATCTTGCACTCTTTCTTTGCCCGGATGCCACCGATTCCATGTGCACATTCTATCCATTCTTTTTCAAAAGCATGGCACCGAGCAGGAATCTTGTAGGGCTGTTCAGCACTTTGGATTGTCAACCCCTGATCTATGTTAATGCCCAACCTTTTCTGCACATCCAAGAAAGGCATGGCGTCACGGCGTAATGTCCTTGTCTCTTCACTGGCCGCGGCTTCAGGACAACTGGCTTGCTACGCGGATCTGTGAGTTTTTCTTCTAGGAATCCTACCAGGTTTTTACATTGAAGATTGGAGAAAAATCCCCTGATGCTTTGGCAGAAGGAGGGGGAAAAGTAACCATTCTGAAATATACAAAAAGCATCTGTTCTGCTTAACAAGGTCTGCCCTCAAGAGAAACTATTTTAACAGAACCTAACTGAACTGGGAGAAGAGAAATACCCAACTTTTTAGCCCTGTCTAGCCTTCCACATGGGGAAAGGGAAATACCCAACTCCAGTCCTTCTAGCCTTCCTAAGCGGGGAGGGGGGCAACAGAACCCCAAAACTGAAAAGTACTTGTGAGGGCCACAGCCCAGGGGCACAGACCTAATCACAGGACTATTGAATGTTTCCCCTGTATCAGTAGGGCTTTTGCATAATGACAGGGGAATACAGCTGAAAGAACCGCACATATAGATCTTATTTTAAGAGAGTTCTCTAAGGAAACCCAAAGATAATAGGGGAGACAAAAGCAAGGGCATCTAGGGAAATTTTAGCCTCTGACACCTACATCTACAGCTACAGAAAACAATAAGCACAGCCTAACTGCTGTCCAGATAAACATAAAACCTCACACTAAAGGCCTGTTTGCTTTGGTTTCTTTTACTCACTACATCATGTCTAACTTTCAACAAAAAATTACAAAGCACACTAAAAGGCAAAAAACACAATTTGAAGAGACAGAGCAAGCATCAGAACCAGACTCAGATATGGCAGAGATTTTGGAATTGTCAGACTGGGAATTTAAAATAACCCTGATTAACGTGCTAAGGGCACTAATGGAAAAAGTGGTCAGTGCAAAAGAAGAGATGGCTAATGTAAGCAAAGAGATGGAAACTTTAAGAAAGAATTAAAAGGAAATGTTACAAATCAAAAACACTGTTAACAGAAATGAAGAATGCCTTTGATAGGCTTATCCGTAACCTGGACATGGCTGAGGAAAGGAACTGTGAGTTTAAAGATGTGTCAGTAGAAACCTAAACTGAAATGGAAAGAGAAAAAATTTTGAAAAAATCTGAACAGAACATACAAGACCTGTGGGACAATTACAAAAGGTATAACATACATGTGGGAATACAAGAAGAAGAAAAAGAGAAGGAGAAGAAATATTTGAAATTATTATGACTGAGAATTTTTTAAAATTAAATTAATAACAGAGACTGAATCACAGATCCAGGAAGTACCAATAACGCCAAGAAGTATCAAAATGTGTACACCTAGATGCGTCATATACAAACTGCAGAAAACCAAAAACAAAAAGAAAATCTTGAAAGAAGCCATAAGGGAAAAAAACAACTACAGAGGAACAAGGATAAAAATTACATAGAACTTCCCTTCAGAAACTATGCAAGCAAGAAGACGGTGGAGTAATCTATTTTTAAAAACCACCAACCTAGAGTTCTGTATCCAGCAAAATTATCCTTCAAAAATGGAGAAAGACTTTCTCAGACAAACAAAAATGGAGGGTATTTGTGGCCAGTAGACCTGCCTGTCTTGCAATAAATGTTAAATTCATCGAAAAGAAGGAAAATTATATGTTAGAAACATGGAGCTTTATAAAGAAAGGAAGAGCTCTGGAGAAGGAATAAATGAAGATAAAATGAAATCTTTTATTGTTTTTATTCTTAATTGTTTTTTTTGTTTGTTTGTTTGTTTGTTTTTTGTTCTTTTTGTGACCGACCGCACCACGCTCAGCCAGTGAGCGCATCGCACCGGCTATCCCTATATAGGATCCGAACCTGCGGCGGGAGCGCTGCTGTGCCATGGGTGCGCCACGGGCTCGGCCCTTAATTGTTTTTATTCTAACAGATAAAAATTGTTCTAAACAATAATAGCAAAAAGTATTCAATGATTGTAGCTTATGGATAAGTAATGAATGACAGTAATTTTATAAGGATGGGAGGTAGGAATTGGCAATGCTAATGCTCTGTTATAAGGTACTTCTGCTACTTGTGAAGTGATATAGTGTTATTTAAAAGTAGACTAGGATTTGGTATAAATGTATTTTCAAATCCAGGGCAACCACTAAAAAAAAGTTAAAAAAAAGAATAGTAATTGATATGCTAAGAGAGGAGGAAAAAATGGAATTGTATAAAATGCTCAATTGAAACCAGAGAAAGCAGAAAAAGAGTGGAAGACAGAAGAGGAAACAAACAGTAAGGACAATGAATGGTATACAATAACATATGATAGCTATTAATCTTACTACATCAATAATCCCTTTACATGTCAATGGTCTAAATACATCAATTAAAAGATAGAGACTGTCAGAGTGGATAAAAAAAATAAACAAGACCCAGCTATATGTTGTCTCCAGGAAACCCACTTTCAATATAAGGGCAGATTAAAAGTAAAGGGATGGAGAAAGATATACCATGCTAACACTGATCAAAAGAAAGCTGGAGTAACTATTAATATCAGACAGAGCCAACTTTAGAGCAGGGAGAGTTATGAGAGATAAAGAGGTTATTACATCATGATTCAGGTGAGCAGAGAGGCTCTCTGGGGAGGCACAACTGAGCTGAGCCCAAATGGAACAACGAACCAGCCCTCAGCAAGCATCAAGCAGAGAACACCAGGACTTGTGAGGGCAAAGTCTCCAAGGTGGGCATGAGCTTCAAGAATCTGAAGAAAGACAGACATTCACTATGGCCAAAGTCAGAGGAACAAAGAAGAGGGCTAGAGGAGCTGTGGGTGGCAGGTCAGGTCATCTGGAGCCTCCGAGACCACAGTGAGATGTTGGGGCCCAAGCCCTGACCTTAATGAGCTTGAGAAAAGCAGTTATCCATGGTCACTTTTTATCTCTTTCTATATAAAATAGGGATAAGTGCCAACCTGTAGGAGTCATGAGATTTACATTCTGTACATTGAGCTCTGAGTGCAGAACCTGGCCCAGCATAGGGGGTTTAACAACAGTAGCCACAGCCAGTGGACTCATCGTCAAAAATCAAATGTTCCTGGGCTTTTAATACCCTTGTCTATGATTCATTTGTTATTTTATCTTAATAAAATCTTTTAATTGCTCAAAAATAAGTCAATGATGCATATTATTTTCATCTCTAGTTACTAAGTATTGTTGATTCCAAAGGCATCAAAGGAGAATCATTTATAGGCCCAATTAAATGATCAGCATACTTTAAAAGACATTCATGGAGATGCAATATTGTCCTCTAAAGGGATTTTCTCATGATTTGGAAATTCTTTTCTGTGTCTAGTCCAGGCTCTGCAAATAGAGTTTAAATCTGTTTTCTCTCACCTTTCAAGACACTAGCTCAAGTCCAGTGAGCCATTTCCCAGCCAGCCTCTTCGAGAGCACTGCCCTGCTGCTACTGCGTGGAGTCGTACGTTCCTGGAGGACGGCGCCGTGCCTTCCTCATCACACCCTGAGCCACAGAGCACACGAGGAGTGATTGGAATCTAACACATTTTACTTTTCATAAACTTTTCAGTCCATGGACTCGCCAGTCTTTCTGGCAACTAATGTAACTAGTATTGTTTTTTCCAGCAGGAAAATTATTGCCTTTCAATACAATTTTTTAAGCAACTTATCACCCACCTTAACATCTTAGGCATATACGCATGAGTACAAACACACCCTTTTACTTCATAATTCCCGTTGGATCTTGAACTTCCCAGAGGGGGATACTGGCAATTCCTCGAATCCTAGATCACAGAGGTAGAGGGGCCCTCACAGATTGTCTGTTCTAACCTTATGAGTGATGCCCCCGCCAGTGTCCTGCCCCATGTCCCTTGAGCACAGCATCAACCCCCAGGTCTGCACAGTCATCTGAATACGCAGAAATCGCCTCTTGGTCTGTCATTTTGACCTGTCATTGTTTCCAGTTTGACCCTTGATTCTCTCATTGTTCATTATAACTTTTTAATTCTTTTAGATTTGCATGGGGGATCTGGTCAGAAATGTGGGAAACTGTATTGTTTATGGGTCTAATGAAATGATCCCCAAGAAGTTCAGTTTCCTAAGTCTGTATGCAGGATTCAGGGTGTTGTGCGTGGTTTCCCTGATGTGTGGGGCTCCTGCTCCCTCTTGCCTCAGTGCTTTGTTGTTGGCAGATGGAAGACCTGCTTTTCAGTATCAGGTCCCAGGGGTCTGGTGTGGACTGAGATTCAGTAGGTGGTGCTGATCCCTTACTGATGAGGCAGTTCTGCGTTTGGAGCAACTGCAGCTGAGCTTCTCTGGGGGAATATCTGTGGCCGGGTTTTCATGTGGAGGGCTGCTCTGGCCTGCTCAGCATACTGGCACATATGTTCTCCTATATGTGTTGAAGCTCTTACAGCTTCTTATCCTTATTGACTTCTTAATCTAAAGTTATTTTCTAATTCATCATTGTAATATTCTTACCATTTACATTACTCTGTTCATAGTGATTGTGGTCATTACTGCAATTACTATTAACTTCACAGGCCCTTTCTTTACACCCACCATTCTATGATGGGCACAAGTATCTCCCCTTAAGTACAAAAGCATGTACTCTTCCCTTTACCATTTTGGTTTCTGGCCACCTAATTTGTGAGGACCACTTAAAAGCTGTATCTGCAGCCTTTACAGTTCTCACCACCCACCAAATCTCATCTCTTGATGACATACACAGACAATGTGTGCCTTCAGCTCAGCCTTTCCTTTAAGTAAAAAGTGGGAAACTTGCCTGGTACTCTGTGCTAGTTTCATGTGGATTGCCAGGACACTACATAGGGGGATGCACTGGGGATGGGCAAATCACAGCCATGCAGTCAGGAAAGTGAGCTGATGATTTCTGTTGGGTGTCCATCGAGTTCAGCGTCAGCTGGCTCCCCACAGCTGTTCTCCAACCTTTTAGTTTCTCTCTCAGTGATATTAATGCTTCATGCATTTCCCAGGATACCTGTTCCAGAACTTTCCATTCTTCTCAAGTCCACAGTCTAAGCCTCTCCACCTGCCTTACTTCCTTTAGGGGTC